CATATAGTAAGTCATAGTCAATTATAGTCATATTCGGCGTTGCAAGCCTGTGGAGAATTTTTTATCAATTTTTTGTTTAAGAAAAATGAAGAAATAAATGAAAAAAGTATTTTTATTAAAGAATAGTAAAATGAAATAAATAAAAAATGGCTAAATAAAGTCCGAAAATAATATAAAAATAAGAAATAAAAAAATAAAGTCCGAAAATACTTTTTTTTTTGATTTGGTAGCAATTTTTTAGGAATTTGAAAGCAGATTTTTAGGAATTAAATTGTTATTATAGAAAGAGAGAAAAAAGGAATAATTGAGATAAATTATACTAATTAATTAATCCTAATTAGTGGGATTTAGGTCCTCATTAATAGGAATTTTGTAAATAGTAGATAATTATTATAAAAAAAAACGTGGGATTTAGTTGCCTTATTAATAGGAATTTTGTTAATACTAGATAATTATTATAAAAAAAAACGTAATGGGTGGTATAAGGGTAAGATTGGAAATAAATATTTTAGGGGGTTTTCACAAAGGAAGAATTATGGTATGGACATATCACTATATTTTATCTATAGGAGGGGTGTATTGCTAATGACCCCTTTAATATTTTCTCTGCCCTTATTTTGGGCCCAGCAGCTTAGCCCAATAGGATTGGGCTTCATTAATAGGGCCAGAAAACATCTATTATAATACATACGAGATTTCGATCCAATTTTAAAATATCAATATTATTAGGGAATGACTATAACAAATCCCAAATTTTTCTCAATTCAATATCAAAAAAATAAAAATTGAATAATAAATAAGTAATGACATAAATACCCTTAATGAAAATAAATACCATACAAATATTAAAAATTATTATAATATATTGTAATAGATATCTCAAGCTATTACATTACTTGTGGACTAAGTATAATTTAGCTACGTGTCTTCATTTGCTGGTTGATATCCTTGAAATAGGATGACAAGGCTTGTACTCCTTTGTGTATAAATAGGTGCATCCGAAATGAAAAATAGATAGATTGAACTTCCAGCACATTTTGTATCCTTCAAATTTATATTTTGTAGTAGTTCAATAGTACTTACAATATATATTATTTCCTTCGTGTAATATATAATATACGTATATACACATACTTCAGTTATTATAGTTTATTCTATAACAAAAATCTCATTTTTCTTTCTTCAATACAAACACACAAAATCCCTCAAACCCTTCTTCTTCTTCACAAATTCTCAACCTCTTCCTTCTTCTTCCTCATAACAAATTAAAGCCTTCTAAAAAATCTCAAAACTAAAGAAATTAAAATCTCACAAAACTTATAAAATGGAGTTATAAGACAATAATATGGTAGTATATATGGAAGGAGAACACATTAAGGTAAGTATCGATGTATTTTTTGAGCTTCGAAGTCGATTTTGAAGTTTTTTTTTTTGAAACCCGCCGGCAATTTTCGACACATACAGGTCAATTTTTTAGTCAATTTTCGACACCAACGTGTCGAAAAAAAAAAACAAATTTCGACACATACCTGTCGAAATTGTTTT